ACAAAATGATATCTGCAGAAAAATGTTCCTGGTTGAAATGTGACTTAGGGATGTTAGCTGAGCTGTTCCAGTACCAGATCTGTTTGCAGTGTAAGGTCCGGGTTTTTGCAAGTTGGGCCATGCAGGTGTCCTACAGAGGTCTGTGTCAGCAGCTCCAGCTCTTAGGCACAGACTTTGTCATAAGGCCACCACGTTTTAGTGCAGGTAATTCCAGTTCCCTTCTCATGAGTTTGGGCAGCTGTTGAGATTTGCATTAATATATTCATTTGTTAGCATAGTCTGTCACCCCACTCACATGTCAAATGGATATCCGTTACGAAAGTGAGAAGCAGGTGTTGCTTAAGCCACCACATCAGGACAGACATTATTTGGGACAGTGGCAGGGGAAGAATGAAACAGAACCAGAATTCACAGAAACCGATACCAACAGCTTTCAGCATTGCATCTTGACCACCAGAAGCATAGCTGGCTGGAGAGGAGATTCCTCTCTGTGGTAAAGGTCCACAAGTAAAGATCAAATGAAACCTTTGCTGAGATGTTGTTAATTAGTAATAAAATGGGATGCCGCTATGTATGCCTTCAGTAGAGAGAGAGGATCTAAGATTTGGAAATGACTTGGGTAACATGAGGCTGTTGAAATACGTCATCTTCTTGGACGCTCAAGTGCTTGAATTGTGGACAAACTGAGAAATAAACGTGAAGATCTCATTTCTTCTGTGTGGTAGGACCCCTCTCCCTTTTGAAGGCAAGCAGGCATGTTCCCTTGTTCTGAAGATCGTGGGGGTTTCATTACCTGTCCAGCCACGGCGTTTTATGGAGCGCTCCGCAAGGACAATCTGCTACCCCACGTGAAGGAAGGCTTTCGCTGTCTGGGCATGCCTATCAGATCCAGATCGGCTGGTTGTTGTACCGGCACAACGGGCTGTGTCGGGGAACGTGTTGCACCTGAGCTCTTACCTTCCCCTGTGCCATGTGTAAACACAGTTGCAAGTAATCAAGTAGCTAATTCAATCCTTGGCATGTAAAGTCAGACGCGTTCTAAAATTGAGGCCGGGCAGCTATTTCAAGATCACAAGAGCTTTAAGTAGACGGTAAGACTGTGGTGGTAAGCTGGAGCAGACCGCTAGTGTCCGTCTTAGTGTTCTTGTTCTGCGACCGTAGGAATGACAGACCTTTCTTTACTCTTGCTAACTAACAGGGGGGAGTGAATAGCAGCTAACCAGGTGTTATTGGCAGCTTTGTTAAACAGCTAGGAAGAAGTGGAATTAACTAAGCTACTACAAGACAGTAGTCTAGCAACAATTAGCATGAACCTTGTTAAACATTTTAAGAACACTAATGAGCTCACCTAGAGACCTGAATTGTCATTTCATACCTGCTTCTTTTCCAGTGGGATCATATTTAATAGAAATAAAATGTGATAATAATAACCTTAAACTGTCTTTTTAAGGGTAGAATATTGGATTTTATGACTTCTGAGGAAATATATTGGCAATACTCTTTGGCTTTTGATTGCTAGTGAGAACACCAAGACAATCTAACTTAGATAAGTATGAACTTGAATTCCAGGTTCCCGTGGGTTTTGTGGGACTGAACTCTCACTTTTGTTCTCCCAGCCCTCCTTTTCCATTTCACTTTCAGGACTGTTGAGATGATCCCATTTGTAGGATTTTCCAAAGACTAAATAAAAAAGGAATTTGAACAATGAGCCCAACTTCTAATTAAGGCCAGTTACTTAAAGCACCCCAAAATATTTTGTCACTTAATTTCCATTTAATTTGAGTATAGACTTTTAAAAAAGAAATCACAATATCATTATAAAAACAGCTCTTGCAGCCAGCACTGACTATCTAGGGAGCTGTCTTGCCAAGACTGAGAGCTTCACTAGACCGTGTATGTTTGCATAATCAAAGTATTAACAAGTCGGTATCCCATTCTGGAGCTATTTCCATGTAGTCTGTGGCTGCCACTGCTGTTTGTTCCCAGAAACTGTTGTGTTTTTTAATGTGTAAACTAGCTAATTTGTTTTTACATTGCTTCTGTTGTGTTTTAGGGGATTAGTTTTAACAAAACTCCCCTCCACATTTTTCAGTTTAGGACTTCTGGAAGGGGATGACTTGCCAAATACACAACTGAATGGCAAAAAAATGAACGTCTGTGTGTGGTCAGTTTCAAATGAAATATAAATGTTACAACGTTATAGTTAAAATATTTTAAAACTTCCAGTTACTGTTGAGAATTTCCGCTTTTTTTTATCCTTGAACAAATTAAACCTGATACATTTAACCCATGTTTTATTGGGAAAATGGGGCTCAGAGTCTGAGGAAAGTAAATTGGAAGATTGAGCATGGAAGGAGCAATAAGATACAAACCCTTGGCTCTTCTGTAAGTGTGCTGGAAGATGGGGGAAGCTTTTTCAAAGGTCACTGCTGAATAGCAAACGGCTGACATGCTTAAATGTTTATCTTACAGCTCTCTCTGCTTCTTATATATGACCTGCGAGAAGTGTTCTTGCACTTCTGAGGTGTGTGTTTGTTTGTTATATAAAGTAGGTCTGTCTGAAAGTAGAATTCCTTCTTTTCTTTTTAAATCTTACAAAACACAGCAGCACAGGCTCTTATACTGCTGAGCTGTTTTTCGAGGGCTCCTGCAAACTCAAGAGTCCTGCGATTCTCAGGAATCCATTACTTGCTCAGTCATCTGGTGTGTTTTCAGGATAACCCAGATTTGAACTGCTGTTCCTCCTAGTACAGGGACAGCAGTACCACCGTGCTTTTTAGAAAAGCTGCTCTTGTTTTATTTATAGAAAAGCAAAAAAACCCTGCAATTTTCCTCCTCCTTTCCATACAGATTTTCTTATCCTTAAAGAAACCTAAGTACCTTCCTGAGCTGCAAACTAGCCAACATCTCTGAAGGCTACACCTCCCAGAGCACTGCTTATTGTGTGCGGTGTTAAGCAATACAGGAGAGAGACAGCAGTGAAACTTCTGCAGTAGGTTTTAGGTTGCTGTAGGCTGAAGAAATTCATTGCTTTGTATCTCTGAAGCCAGTATTTTCCAAAGCTGTTAAACTAACAAGCCACTTCTACAAGATGCAACTTGTCCTTGGGAAGGAACGTGTTGGAAGATGTTTACAGAGCCCTCCTCTCGTTAATGGCCAGCTCGCAGCAGCTTCAGCACACTGTGTTAGCGTTGTACGTGCACGATTCAGCTCTCCATTGCAGATTAAAAAGGGGCAATTATCCTAAATCTGGCCCATTCCAAGGAAACTGCAGGAACTTATTCTCTGTTTGGGATCTTCATGTATTAGCTAAAAGCAAAATGACAACTTGGACCTCTGATCCTTCCTGGATCTGTCATGTGCACTTTGTCCAGCAAGCTGCAGAGTAGGAGCCAAGCCATCTTCCCGCTGCCTCTCCCGGTGGGAGGTACTTTGGATTGAGCCCTGGATTTCCAGTCCGTTGCCACAACTAACCCACTTCAGCAGACCTCACCTCAAGCAAAGGGTGACCTCCTCAAAACTGACCTCTTCAGTGCAAAGGGCCACTTGATCAGAAGAAAAAATGCTTGAGGAGCTCTGCTAAACAGCGTCAGCCTGTGCTGTTGCCTCTGTAATTCAGCATCTGTCTGTCTTCCTCCACTAGAAGTCCCTGAGAAAACTACATCTCCCAGCGAATTAATTTGCAGAGCCTCTTTCAGCTCTTCTTCCCGTGAGAGGTTTCAGGCAAAGCTGTGAACAACCTCTGACACCTTTTCTTCCTAGGAGAGCCTCTCCAGCGCTGTGAGGTCTCTTGCCTGCCAGCCCCGCTGCTCAGCTGCCGTGCTGTCGCCTGCAACCCGCCTGTCTGACATTGCTTTCCAAATGTTTTTTCAGGTTGTCCTTACGTGATCTATTGTGCTGTTTTCCTGTTTACTTCTGCAGCCCTCTGTTGTATTCCAGCCGTGTAGTTAAGTCAGGAAATTCTACACCTAATATGCAGTAATTTCCCTTCGCTGACCCGGTTGCCTGTAGCACTTTGTGAAATAGATGCACTTCAGCGCTCGGCGCGCTGCGTCTGCGCTGCCTGTCGCAATCACACAGCGGAACGTGAGCGGTTTTATCGCAGGAGGAGAGGCAAACCTTCCATGCTTTTCGTTAAACCATCCGTGGAGGTCTGACAGGCAAGCTCCGGGGAGCCTTGCTGCAGCACCACAAGGTGTTGCCAGTGCTGGAGCGGGAGCCGAGAGGAACCCATGCTGTGCTCTCCTCCCCTGCCCGCGCCAGCGCCTGCTGCCCCATCCTCCTCCTCACCTTCACCTTTGAGACGCCGCACTTTGCACTGGCACACGTTGGGTTCTGCTGCCTCTGCTGCAAGAGGGTCACCTTTGGCAGAGGAGTGGGGACAGGGAGCTGGGACTGTTTTGCTTTGAAGCGGTGTGCCGAGGCTTGCCAAGGCGCGGTGGGGTGGTGGGAGGAGGATCTGGAAGGAAGCTGTGTACCCAGGGCTCTGACCGCCTCCACCTGTCCAGAAAATCAAACTGTTTTCTTAGGAGTGTTGCCTGAAGACTTTGAGCCCCTCTTTTTGCTAACCCTTCCCTGTGGCTAATACACATTATAAAAAAGAGAAGGTGTAACTTTAACATTTCAAAACCTAACTGATATCCAGTATTCTACCCTTAAAAGCTTTTCACGATCAAGATTAGAATCATCAGCCCATCTTGATGGTTTTAATATGTGGTCGAGAAGTTACCCGTCTTACACTGGCATCCAGTCACGTCATTCCCCATAATCTTTCTCTTGGTTTTTTTTTTTAGCCTTGTTGTTCATAATTTCCTTTCCAAGTGTTTCTTTATTTGAAATGCCATTTATATTTTGTTGCCTTTTTTTTCCAGCACATCTTACATCTTTGTTTTTGTTTTGTTTTTAATCTTATTTCTGGCGTTTTCCATCGCTCTGTGGCCATGATTGTGGATGTGTTTTGGTTTTTGCCTGCCTTGCTGTTCTCTCGCTGCACTCCCTAGATCCCTGTTGCACAGTCCTCTGTCATGGATGACATTGAGGAGTGGCTCAGTACCGACTTGGTGAGACTCTTTATATTTTCGTTTTTCACATGGGCAATAGCACTTGTACGGATAACTTTCAATGCATTGCTGATTTACTGGTACTTCTCGTAACGGGAGGCAGTGAAACTTCTAAATCATATGGCTTATTTCCCTTTGAGGGGACTACCTAAGCAGGAGGATATAGGGTCATGTTCAGCAATTCAATCAAAACATTTTTTTCGGAGTTGTTTTATTTTCACTTCTCCACGTTAACATCACAGAATAGCACGCATTCCAGAAATCGCGTGTTTCTGGTCCCCATATAGGAAAGCATTTAAACATGTGCTGAAGTTTACCTGTGTTCTCCCCTGGACTTAAAGCGCATGTTTAAGGCTGTATTAGCTTTGACGGGATCTAAGTACATGCTTACGTTGAGGCATACTTTTAAGAGATGCTGGATCAGGGCTTAGATTCCTTTCAAATCGAGATGTCTTTGTTAAATTGGCAAGCAATCTTGACATGTTTCATAATATTAATAATAAAAATTTATAACAGTCTCTCTTCAATGTTTATAACTTTCAGTTTCTCCTAAATGATTATTGTCTGGTAATTATTAAACAAACAAACAAATGACAGAACTAAAAGTAGCTTTTCCTTCACTCTGGAGTTTGTTTTGCTGTACCAATACACGTTTGGTTTAGGCAGCGGTACAGCTAGTACGCATTTATTCCAGTTTCTTTTTGTACTGTCAGCATCTGACTCAAATTAACCAAGTGCGTTTTGGGGACGGGTGGTGGGTTGTGTTTCAGACTGTTCTTTTAAACATGGTTTTAGCGAACTGAACTGTTTCCTTGTGGCCAACATATCCCTAAGGATCATCTCCTTCCATTACTTAGGACTTCAGGTATTGTCCCTAGATAACTCCCTACTCCCTAAGGTCTCCCCCAGCCCCCGGCTGTTGCCTGCTCGACTGGGAGTTGGGAGCTGTGGGATTCAGGCTCCGCTCCCCGGCTCTGGCAGCAGTGCGGCTGGCACGCTCCGGCACATCAGCCCTCCGCTCCAGCACCAGAGGAGCTGACTGTACTGAAAGGAAGAAAATGCTCCTGTTCTCCAAAACCTAAGAAGTGCTTAAACAGATTCTGGGTTTCAGTGTTCAAGTTTGGCAGTCTGACTGGCTGTCTTTGAAATGTCACTGGTTTTTAGCTGCAGGTATTTTTTTCAGGCCTTGGTACAGGCCGGTATTTTCAAATCTAGTTACAAACTGATCTCATTTTGTTAAAGAAATACAGTAAATGTAGCATGTCCACTCTGCTTAAACAATAAACTTTTGTCTTTGCCATTTAAATTAATTTAGCAGGAGAGAAGATCTTACGGAGAGATATCAAGGTAGCTCTGTACATCTTTCATCCCCCAGATAGTCTTGCTCAAAAAAAGCAAAGCAGAGAAGTGCCGTGTAAATGCCTGAACAAGCCTGGGGATCTCACGCGCTGCGGCCGTGACTGTACCGGCTTCCCTTCTCCTGGGTACCTGCGTCCCCGTCCTGACCGTATGTGGGTGTAGCATAGAGTTGCCCTCCGAGAAAGTTTGGACTGGATTTTTGTTTTTCACTCTGGGTTCCCCCTCTCCTTGTTTTGTTAATGGTTCATTTCAGTTCTCTGCTTCCCAGCTGAGGAAGTTACAGACTAGGTTAGCTAATAGTTATTTATTTCCTTACCCTTTTTGGGTGCACTGGAACAAACAGTACCTCTGCGTGTGAAGCAGTGGCTGCTGTGTGTACCTTTGGAAACCTCTGTGCAGTAGCAAGCTAGTAGATGTTAGGTGGCATTAATTCTCAGGCATTAAAAACCTTTGTGAGGCCAGTCAGTATGTTCCCACTCTCCTGCTAGAGAAGCCAGGGTATGGACAAACACTTTCCTTTTTCAAAGGAGGTTCAACATGAGGTTTTCAGGTAGTGCTTTTGTCCATTTTTAAAATCCTGATAGATTGACAAGGATGCCACATCCTTGGACTTCCTTATTAAAGCACTGTTGGAAATTCGCATATTGAAATGCGCACAGCTGGTAGAAATGCACTGACCCTCTGGCATCCCAGCCTTTGTATCTCATGGACGGATGCTAACTGCCCATCAGTATCCTTCATCCAGCCCACCCGAGTCTGGTCTTTGTACAGCATGGACGCCAGGAAAGCTGCTATATTTTTGTATGCACTCTAAAATGAACTCCCACAGGAGGAACGTTGGCCCCAAACTATTTTGCGACATATGTCCTTTGTCAGCTAAAAGTGCATTTTATTTGAAGACACAATGCAAACCACAGTCCTGACTTTTTAAAGGACTGTGTGACAAAAGGTGGCATCTTGTACAGTGTTTGTGTGACTCACACAGCTCAGCTTTTGACTGGGCATACTGTCTGAAGTGGAAACAGCGCTGGACTGCCATTCAGGTCCAACTGGGAAAGTTTAGCTATTCACCAGTGATCTTCAGAAGCATTTCTGGTGCTCATCCTCTTGCTCTGCAGTGCAGTGAAATGTCAGTCGCCATTGGCCTCCTGACATGGGAGCCAAACGATTTCCCCCGGTCGCCCTGCTCAAATAGTTACCATGTGGAAACAAGTGGTGAAAACTGTCCAGTTGCATTAAACACATGTAGAGGCTAATAGTGAAGGTGAAGCGCTGCCTGTGTGTTCACACGCCTTTTTGTTCCAATTGCAGAAAGGAGACGAACTGGAAGAAGGAGTGACCAGTGAAGGTAAGCAGAGATGCCTGTGGCTATGAGCCGTTCTCAGGTTAGTGCGCAGAGTGAATTATCTGCTTTGATCCCTGCTGAGATGCTGACTTCTCCCAGCCTGATGTTCCCCAGCAAATGCTTCTGCACTCAGAAAGGCGGGAAGAGAGCATTTTAGAGCAAAAAGTTAGTATTTATGGTGTGAGGAGCCCTCCTGGCTGTAAG